TTTTTAGTTTATGACAAAATAATAACAGAAAATCCTGCCTGTACTGATTTATGTACAGTACATCGAGGTTACAGGAGGGTATGCAAAAATATCCACCAAATCTCTCCTGTATTTTGGTGGTACAGCAATGTGTTTGATTTCCTCCTTTCCTTCTTTCCTGGCCTTTGAATGTGTGTGTATGCTTGCGTGAGAGCTGTCAGTTTTCTGGAGGATGAGATGATTATGTAGCAGACGGTTGAGTTCAGAGAGGGAGAGGTGGTGGATGCTGGAGCAGGGGATTGTGGGTGCACAGTTTTTAATCCCTCGGAGTGCAACAGCTGTCATCATCATCATCATCTCTCTCTTTCTTTCTCACACACAAACACACACACACACACAAAGATTTTTATTTCCCCAGTTACATCATAATGCATCTAGTAATATTGATTTTATACACTTATTAGGTCAAAGTTGATCAAAGTTCTCTGTGAAGGTACTGCACCAATCCACCGATTACAAGGATTCCTTTGAAATTATTTGATTTTGGTCTAAAAATATGGTTTTAAATCTTGGTTTGACCTTAGTGTTGACACAGACTTAGTCCATAATGTTGCACTTTATCACAGCTGCACACAGACGGTATGGACTGACACAGCACGGCTTGAAACAGCACAACTCAAGGAGGCTTGAACAAAAGCTGGTTTATTGAACAATATTTCAAAAACACAAGGTGGGTATCTTAGTCGGAGAGTAGCACTGGTCTAGGTACACTAGGAACAGGGCTGGAACTCACTAGTCACTGGGAGCCAGATGATGTGGCGGCTAACACAAGGACTGAGTGGTTATTTATGCACAAAGACATGGGAGACAATGAGGCGCAGGTGGACCACAGTAGGGCGGGGCAGGTGATCACACAGACAGCGAGGCAGACGGGGCCTGGAACGAAACACAATGTGAGTAATAGAAAACCAAAACAGAGGGGGAAATATAAATGACAAAAACATGACCTTATCTGCCAGAGCTGGGCATGATGCACCTGAAGCCTTAGTAGTACTAGTGCGCATATTATTTTCTTAATTGATCAATTGTTCTACAAAAAGCTCAGAAAATACAGACTCTAAAGCCCATGGTGAAAGTCATTAAATTGCTTGTTTTGTCTGACCAGAAGTCAATAACCTAAACATATAAAATTAAATTTTATATTAAAATTAGTTAAGACCACTAAGTCTTCACATTTGACTTGCTGGAACCTGAGAATTATCACCAGTTTTGCTCAAACAACTTCTGAGAGAAATATCTGGTTCTTGAGCTGCTAAATGCTCTACTATATCCAGGGGAGGAAGGGAAAGATAATATACATATAAGTGAACACACAGTATATACTGTACCTTGTCACACACACACATTACAAATGAACAGACTTCTTGTCACTAGACAGAAAAGTAGTGTACATTTGGTTTATCTGAGGTTTTTCATTGAACAGCTGTGTGCTACTGATGTAAGAAGAACAGAACTACAATATAGGGCTGGAAATGCACTATAATAGGTCACTTTTAACACTACTCACTACATTCTGTATGGGCTACAATTTCAGTTTCCTAAAGGAGTGGAATAATCCCTGATAATGGTCAACCATGAGGTCACTTTTGCTATACAAAGCTCTTCCTGGTCCTTTTTTGTGTGATATTATGTGAGGGCTGTTTCCCATTCGCTTGCAGTGCTCTTTATTCCTTTCTTGTAGGAGGTCTGGTAGAGTCCTCAAAAATATCTCATAAATCTAAATTCAAGGTCAGACAAAGTTTCAGCATTAGTAAAAACAGCCTGTCCAAGAGATCAGTCTTTTAATATATATTTTCCAGTGTATGCGTGAAGTCTAGCGTGGGCCATCCTTTGGTTCTTTGCACAACGAGATCTGGCCATGTGAGAGACCAGTGGTTGTTCTCTCTCTCCCTCTCTCCCAGACTGCCTTTCAGATTTTGTGGTTGTCATGGTTTTAGTGTTTAGTTTTGTTACTGCCTGTTTTATTTTGAAAGTTTGCTGCTTCGTGTGTCTTGTCTCATTTGACCTGCCTTTGAGTGCCTGTTTATTTTCTGGCCAATATTGTCTAATGTGTTCCACCTGTGTCTCATTATTCGACCCTCTCTTGTGTATTTGTGAAATCAGGTTGAAATGTACACATTGCAGTTCTTATCACCTGCGACCGTACGGATACAGATACAGACTCACTTGTGTCCACATGATGTGTCTCTGCACACACCATGTGGTCACTCAGTAATCCCCTACCCAGACTGTCTGCACTATATTGTGTTAAATGCTGTAGTATGTTGGTCATGTTAAATAAAATGTACATTAATGTAACTGCTTTGGGCCCAATTCTTAATAGAAACATTTATATTTTGATAATGCACCAGGTTAGCGTGTTCCTTGTGCAATTTACAGCATCAGTTCTCTGAGAATTTCTTTCATATTCAAGCAAAATACATAAGGTAACTGAAATATCATGAATCAGGAAATCAGTGGCGATACCCAACTCTAGTGTGTAATGAAAGGCCGACTAGGTGAGACAAAGAACACCAGTTCCAGGCCACTGAATGTTCTGGCTTATGAAATCTCTCCAATGGAGCGCTAAGTATTGCAGAGGTAGGAAGCCTCTATTTAGGATTGGTTCATTTTGTACTGGAGTGATTATTGAGTGCATCATGAGTGTGTGTGTGTGTGTGTGTGTGTGTGACAGAGAGAGAGAGAGCTTTGTGATTATAAGACTTTATAAGAAGAGAAACCAGAATTCATAGTGAAATGTCATTCATAGCTGTGATAGAGTAATAGAGAGAAAACAGAAAACAAGAAGAAGTAGAAACTCTAAGTGAAAGTGTGTGTGTGTGTGTGTGTGTGTGTGTGTGTGAGGTGTCCGCTGTACTGTGTCCTTTCGCTAAAACAATGGCCTACAGTTCCACTCAAGGCCTGCTAACACTCTACTGTATGTCCTCGTACTGGCTACTGTGTGTGTGTGTGTGTGTGTGTGTGTGTGTGGTAAAGTTGCAAGACAATGACAGCTTGTTTGCTGGGAGGGTGGATGGACGGATAAACAGAGGACAGGAAGAAAGAAGAGTTTGTTCAGTGGTCATGCTGTTTTTAGTGTTGGGACACTGTTTATATTTTACATTTGTAGCATTTGTAGTGAAGAATGAATCCAGCTTATACTATTCTGTTTCAGTCTTTGTTTGTGATGTCTTTGTTTTTTTATTTCAGTAGATACATTTACATTTACGTTGGTTTAGCTACCCAGTTCTTCATTTGTACTTTTCTATCTTGTGAACACGAAACACATCACTACTTGTGTGGCACGTACTGGGTACTTAGAACAGCAAATGTAATATATTGTGTTACTAGCTGCTGGTTTATTCGCTACTGTGTTGCAGTTGTCAGTGACAGAGAAGAAAATAATTGACATTTGAAACTTTTCATTCTTAAATACTATACAATCCACTTACTTTGGAAATGATTTTCCACTGAGACTCATTCAGTCTCAAACAACAGACCCAGCCACCTGCTGTATTAGTGTTTAGTTGTTTAGTTGTCATGTTCTTCAAAGGTGTCATTTATATCTTAGGCTTTGCCATAAGGTTTTGTGAGCTCAGACAATCTGTGTCAAGCTTTCTCGGATTTATTCTAAAGCATCACATGAGCAGAGCCAGACCGCCAAGCTAAAAGTGCTTATTGCTGCAATAAATGGTTCATACCTTGAAGCGTGTCTGGACGAATGATTCATAATGGTGTGTAAACTGCACAGATAAAATTCCTGACTTCATTATCCTGACTTCATTATCATCAGTATAGATAACGTCGACACTCATATTACACCAATAAGAATTCTATAGCTCTATGTTCTTTTTTAAAATGTAATTAGACTAATTTTTATTCTGCTTCATCAGCAGAAACAACCTTAACGGCAACACACACTTGCAGCGTATGATGCACATCAAAACGTGTGTTTTCCATGTCAGTCTACGCACTGGTCAATGCGGGCAGCAGCAAGTCAGTGTGCGAGGATCCATTAACGTCCTGTTTTCCAGCATCAACTCTCCTGAAAAGCAGCAATCGTATCACATTCACTTATCTCATCAGAAGTCATTGATTTCTATGACTCATTTATGAGTACTTTTTTAGGAAAACAAACGTGAAGAAATAATTTTATGGATACTTAATGGATGTATGTTTGCCTTATTGCATTACTTATTTAGAAGAATAGTTTATTTACCTTTGTAATTACCACTACATGCAGAAGTACCTCATTCATGTAACACAAGGAATGTGAAGACAGTAGAAAAAGGGAAACACAACAAACTTGTTAATATTTTTATTTTTCCTTTTTCAACTGTCACTTTCAATTTTGCCTTTGAAAACTTGTTAAACATAATTTTTTTGTTGAGTTTTAATTCAATTTCAATGGTTATTGTTGCTTTGGCTCTAATTACTAACATTAATTAATCTTAGAAAATCATTTCACATTCAAGCAAGTCCCACCAAACTGAATTAAGAGAGAGAAAAGAAAGTAAAACAGTGAAAACAGAGATGCACAGGAAAGAAAAAGCATGACAAGGTGCAACATGTGCCAGTTTCTTTATCTGTTCTTGGGGCATTTTTATTATCAGGCTGCATCTGCAATAACATCACTGCTCACCTGAAATAACAGGCTTTTAGAAGGTGTGAAGTGGTCGGTTACATAAAAATAAGAAAAAATAAGTTACAGGTTATTTATGACACACAGGCAGAATGACTGTCAGACAACCTGTGAAGTGGAGTGGATAAAGGAGAAAACAGTAAGCGTGGCTGATTTTGCCTTTATTGAAGATAGTACAGCTGAAGATAGACAGGAAAAGCGCGGGAGAGAGGGGAAGACATGCAGTAAATGAGCCGCCGGTCTACTGTGGTACATTGCGTGTGATCTACCGAGTGAGCTAACCGATGCCCCAGCAAAGATTAATAAAGGCAATCACACCTGTCTCTCCTTTTCTCTCCAGTAACAGGACTATGGACCTGAGCCTGCGAGATGCTCTGGGTGGAGGTGGAGTCTCAGGTGGGGCCCCTGCTGAGTCCCTGCTGAAGAGAGACTTTGCAGCCACGCTGGAGAAGGACAGCTTTGATGACAAGGTGGGAGAGACAGTCACCAAGAGCGACTACCGACCCTTACTGGATGGAAAGGACACCAAGAGCGGTAAGTCGCCACGAGCGTTTAAGCTAAGACGTGGAGAGGGAGTGATGCTTTTCCCTAATGTGATGTGGATCCCTGTAGGGAATCAGTCTTTTCCCAAAGAGGCGAGACCTGAGTGGGCTGCTAGGCATTTGTAAAAATCACTGGGCTTGAATTTAAGTTGTTCAGGTGAAATTGGCCTCTGGTTTTAAGGTGGTAAACAAGCTGAAGAAGACAATTTTGCTGCAATGTGTGTGTTCCCTGCACTCTGAAAGGCCCATACCAAATAACTTCTCTCTGCTTACACGTTCCATTAGTGCCCCTGATTCCCAAAGCATGCGGTCATACCATATCAAGATAGATATCCTGCTTATGAGTAGTTCTGATTGGACAGACACAGTCACTGCATCACTGCCTTCCTTCCAAAATGTCCTATTCAACTAAAACACTCTGTTGTGGAGTGCATAGTAACCTCTTTGCTACTAACACTAATTGTTGTAGTTGTTCACGAGCTCCTGGGATCGCCACACAGCTGAAACTATTAATATCCCAATTTGACCCATTTCTGGCAGAACACATTAAAACATATGGTCTTGTACTCATCAGCAACAATATAATGTTGATCAGTTAACATTTATCTTTACATTTGTTAACAAGCAAGGTAAGATTGGCTTTTGAGCCAATTCAGATCCACACAGGACAAAGTTTGACTGACAGCAGTCCAGAGGTGGCACAGTATTTTGATTTACTGCAATCCTACATTCAGCTGAATGTAGGATTAGTTTTTCGGAACTCTGTTATTCATATAGACTTAACATTAAAGTCACTACTATCAAACACTTGGTGGAGCTGTCAAGCTGACTCCACTAAAACTCTTTGGTAAAACTACTGTAAAATAAGAGATATCTTAGAGAGCAAATCTGCAGATGAAAATGAGAAAAGAGACAGGTTTGTGTGGTTGTGGCTCGATACTACATTTGATGTTTTTTAATGCCATCTTTCATGGTTTGTTGTTGTTGGTTTTATTTAAGGCACAGCAGGAAAAAATATTGTTTTATCATGCACTGGTCAATTTTGAGATTTTGGACTACTTTGGGCGTCTTTTTTCAGACTAGGGGAAATAAAATGTCCAAAATATACATTTATTATTTATTACATTTTACTATAGTTTGTCTTTGTGCATCTGTAGATTTCTGCTAAAATTTAGCATTCTAAGGTAACATGTCTTCCCGCTATCGCTGTCTGCACCGTAGCCACACCTCCTTCACTCTAGTGCTCAGCCCCCTCCTGTTCCTGTACACCCACAATTGCATCCCCCGACATGGAGATAACTCTTTTTGCAGATGACACCACCATCATCAGCCGGATTTAAAATAACGATGAGCATTAATATTGTGAGGAAATCAACAGTCTTGCAGAATGGTGCACAGAGAACGACCTACTGCTCAACGTCAGCAAAACTAAAGAGCTGATTGTTTATTTTTTGGAAAAAGAGGTGAAGACACACACAGCAGGCGAACAGTTTTAGGTTCCTGGGAATCAGCATCACAGACAACCTGTTTTGGTCCTCCCACATCTCCAAGTTCTAGTTAATTTTTACAGAGGAGCAATAGAAAGCGTCCTGACTGGAAACATCACAAACTGGCATGGGATGTGTACAGCCCAGGACAGGGGGGCTCTGCAGCAGGTGATTAAAACCGCTAACAAGATTTTTGGTACCCAGCTACCTAGCATTAAGTGATATCATTAATGTGAGGTGATACTAAAATCCAGGACCCACCCAGCCAAAGACTGTTCACCCTGCTGCCATCTGGCAAGACATACAGAAGAATCCACTGTCATACTAACATTTAAATTAGTTTTATTTGGGTGACTTATTATATTCACCCATCTTCTTTATATCATTTTTGTAACGTTTGTTTATGTGAGTAGCATAAAGTGAACTACAACTTTAATCTAGTCTTAAAATAATGAATAAATCTACCTCGTTCCTTTTAATACATGTTGTTTGTTGTTTTTGTCCAGGGCCTGTGGTCATGATAACCCGCTCCATTATTCAATACGACTAACTATCAAATTTAAGACGTTTAAAGATCGTGCTGACGTTTAAGGTGTTTAAAGATCTTTACTTCAGCGATGTGTCTGAAAATATGATGATGCAATCATTTTATCTGGAGAAAGACTCACCAAATCATTGGTCTTCTGTGAAAAGCAAAAAAACACTGGCTTTTGATGCAGAATGGTGGATTTTTGTCTACAAATCCGTCTTTGGTCAACGAGCATACAGTGGAACTACAAAACAGGTTTCATTTTGTAGTTTGACCAAGTCATCAGATAAATTGTAAGTAGTTACGGCTAAGTTTGCCACAAACAGTTGTCTTTGTAGCTGCTGAAGATATTAATGTTAATAATTATATTGCAGTGTTAATTTGTTGCTGTTAAACATGCTTTGCTTTAAAGGCTTTTCCACTGGTTTTTACAGAGACATGATGCGTTAATAAATAATGTTTTCCACAGTGTAGGGTTTGGCATACTGAACATACTGATTTAGAGCCTTTGGTTAAATTCAGATGCTTGAAATTAAGAGATCATGTGATTTCAAAATTAGTTTTAAGTCAAAGGCAGTCCAATAATGATCCTGGACTTTTTCTTTTTGTTATCATCACGGCACAAAATACAGAAAACACAAGCTCCTCAGATTCTCCTCTATGCATCAGGGCAATCAGGAATCCTCATAGGAGTGTGTTTGTGTGTGTGCTTCGAAGATTAAGTGTAATTGCTTCGACACTTTGGCCAACCCTGTCTAGACTTAAATTAGCTGTTGGACTGTCTTTCTTTGTCTTTGTCATTCTCTCTGTCTTTCTCTCTCCATGTCATTGTTAAGCTGTGTCAGCCTGGAGACAGTGCAGTATTAGCATCATTACCATCACCACACAATCACACACACACACAAAATTCGCACCCTGCCAGTGGCACAGTCTGGCCCACTGAGTTGAATGTTAACTTGTCTAGCTGTCAGTGTTTGACATGCAACAGAGCTGTAGGGAACCACAGTTTGGCTACAGTTGCAATCCACGGCACTTGTAGATGGGCATGCTGGTGTAATTCTGTAGTATATAGTGCTTTGCGCCCGTATAGTTGGGGGACAGAAGAGACAGAATAAAAATCAAAGCAGGAGAGTTCGTTGAATGGGTCTCACAGTGTTTGTGTCCTTTTGATTGGAAATGTGAGTTTGTAACAGAAGAGCAGGTATGGATCAGCTTTTCACACTACGTATACCACATCACGTGACCATGATGTGACCAAAATATTTAACTTTGCAATTCAAAATGTTGTAGTTTGTTCATATACATCACACAATACAGCCGCATAAGCATTGCAGATTCAAAATATTAATGAAATGGCATAAAGTTTATAGATGAAACACATATCTTGGCTTGTGCCTTGTTTTTCTTCTCTTGAATTCTGTAGTGGGTAGTGTTGTGTTTTCTCTTTCCTTTCAGTGTTAATAATGTGTAAGAATTGAAGTCATTTGAGGCCTCAGTTTTATTGAAAGGCTGTGATGAATCTGACTCCTGCAGTGTGAAACCAAAAGCTCATCTGTCCTCAATGTCAGTAAGGGCAAACCTTTAGTTCTGCCTCATTTTCCTTCCCCAAGCTCATTTTGCACAGCACCTAAAAAATCCAGCAGCTTCTTTTTCTGATTTGAAACTAGCCAAATAATTTTGAGATAAAACATAAGGAACTGTTAATTCTAGAGGTAAACCTAAGAGCGTACTACTATAGGGCTGTCCCCGACTAAGGATTTACATAGTCGAATTAGAATCGTCAAGTCCTGCCTATAGTCGACTGATAGTCGAATCATGTGTGTTTTTGTGCGCAGCGATTGTGAGCGCCGGGGGGGTTTAGCGAAAATGGCACGATCCTTGTTTCAGTGCGATGTTTCGATTGTGAGACTAGGTGCGTTTGACTTCATGCGGCTCTGCGCAGCACACACATGCTGGACTTAAAATAAGGCATGCTGGTTAGAAATTGTGTCCGACTTTCGTCGGTGCTGCAGAACGTCACCATGTCACTTGACAATAAAACCTCGCGGGAGCAAGGCGGCTGCAGGCGTCGAGTCCGGCGGCCGCAGTTGCTTTTCCCCAGCTGCATCAAGTTGGAACCACACTTTTGCCTGGTCTCTGGTTTTTGGCAGTTTTTGGCAGTTTCCAAACAGCTTCAGTTGCATTACAACCACCCACTGGATTGGAGCCGGGCTTACCCCAGTTTATTGTAGCCCAGGAAAATAAAGACAAATGCAATCAGATTTGTTCTCTGGCCAACCGAGACCGAATGTGGCTACTTGTAAATGAAAGTTTATTAATTGGCATCTGTATTTTATCCGGATGCTAAGATTTAACACAATGGCATTTAGTACAGATATCAAATTTTTTGCACAAGCCTTAAAAAAATCTGTGCATATTATGTCCTCTCAATAACATTGATGTTTATTTGAAATATGATATTCAGTTGCTGATAGCACAGAATGACCACAGTACAGAGAGTATGAACTTGTGGAAAAATGTCCTTTAGTTGATTCTGCTGATGTTTTTATTACTTTTAACATTCACAAAGCTGCTATTTGAGTGTGCAAATAAAGCATCTGAGAGGTTTCAAAGACAGATTTTAGCAGTTGTAATTTCTTTCAGGAATTTGTAGTAGAAACAAATGTTTTAATAACAAGTTACATAAGTTGATGTATATCATACAGTTTGAATGTGAATACATTTTTCTCTACAATCACTGCAGCAGTTGCACTCAAAATATGAATTTGAGAGAGAGACAGAGAGAGAGATTGAGAAGGAGCAGGTATTAGGGGTGAATAATTATGCACACCAAGCAAGGCAAGTTTATTTATATAGCACATTTGAACAACAGGGTAATTCAAATTGCTTTACATAAGACATAAAAGCAATAGGGAAATATAAAGATTTTAAAAGAGTTAAATAGAAAATAAAAAGAGGCAGCTCTCTCACCATTGC